TCGTAGGAGTGAAAATTATAAGCATTGCATTTCCTATAGCACAGGGAGTGATTTGCTCTGTTAGGCAAGTCAAATGTTACAGAGCGCTGGTATGAAGACTATTGGGGAAGAGGAAGGCAAAAGTTGTCAACTCAAAGTATTCAAAAGTGAGGTTCAGTCTCGACCTGGCCATGGCATCGTGGAAAGCGGCGAGGTACTGGGGGGTCATGCCTCAAGTTCAGATAGCGGCCGCACGTATCAATGGGGAGCTCCAAGAGACCGATCAGTGCCGGCTTGGCAGTATTCTTGGCGTCTGGAACGGGCTGGTGCTAGACTGTATCAAGATATCGGGATATTTCGAATTCGGACTAGAGCAGATAAGTCCCGCCGAAGCTATTTATATGTCGACCGTTTTAATATGAGAGAAGACGAAGAAAGTTTTGAGAGTATCGAGTGTAGAAGATGACAGTAATTACAGTAAATTGAAGGAGCAACTCGTCGTAATGGACCTTTGCATCTTGAGCCCTCAAAAGATAGCTTAGATGACGCCTTTTTAAAGGTTGTTGACGAATAAGTCGCACCGAGCAAAAGTTCCTCAAGACCCTCCCGATTTAATTGCAAACCCGGGCCACGTGACTATTTTCCGGTTATCACGGCAGAAAAAGACCCAGATAAGAGGGCGAATCTGCCGATAAATGAATCAAGGAGATGGAGAACAAGCGACCCAATCCTGCCGCTCAACCCTAAGTCAACTTAAGCTTGAATCTACTATCGGCGCTTCTGCTACTGTCTCGGCCTTGACCCCTTGGTGATCAAAGGTTCCAAATACTAGAGGTACGATTGTATCTGACGGGCGTTGCAAAAGGTCACTGGCCCCCAAAAATCAAGCGACTGGGCCCCAAGGATCCCCCATATCCCACTGAACCGGCTGCACTGGCCATGTAGCACCGGAATGTGGGATGTCGAAAGGCATGTTGGTGTCATTCTCCGAAAATACGGTACATACTCGGTCCATCAATATCATTCCCACTTACCGCTCAAGATGAATTTTTGGGACTCAGGCAACGCTCTCAGACATCAATTAATATGCTGTAGACATGTTACATCATCATTCAAACCTTATCAATTGGGTGCTGACATGGCGTGTTCCAGAATTCTGGATTTCTAGTGTATAATAACTACGTACCATTCTGTCTAAAGCGACAAGGGTTTAGACCAACACCATAAAAAAGTCCCTGTAACATGAGCTCTTCAGAGGCTCAAACCAATAGCCGCGCTTTGATTATAGGAGTCTGAGACCCTTTGTAAAGCACCCCTGCTAATCAGAATGTCGCAATCAACACTGATCCAACATTAGCCACCAAACAACCAATGACCTTGAGGCAATACCACCAGCTCTTGCAGTCGCTAACACAAGTTCCTGGTGGAATCAGGAGAGGCGGGCTTCAAGTGCGGCTCTTCCGAGGGTACAATCGATAGCGCAACATGGAGGGATTGCTTGATGAGGCAAAGGCCAAGACGTTTCTAGCTTCGGGGACTTGAGGCGACAGCTCAACGCTAACGCCTCCACGATATGCGCGCGGGAGGGTTACAGAATTGGGACGTGGCTAGTACGAAAAGAGCAGGAGAACAGGGTTTCGGTATGTTGCAACGGGACCACGAGGGTCCATCTCCCCCAGAGGCAAATGTCCAAGAAGGGAATTGATCTTGCAAAAGGACCTCGAGAAACTGGGAACTCTGTGAGACGCGGCCGACGTCTCTGCTCCTTATCGCCGTGGTATCCGATATCGAGGTTCCAGAACCAAGGGATGTTACATTCGCTCATCGTGTAATGCGATGGTATCACCGACGATGTGGTTTTAGATAAAGATGCGTTGCTGCCCTTGCGTAGATTGACTCTGCAGCCCACATGATTTGAGCCAGCTGTCGACTGTTACACAAACGACATCAAAACCCCTCTTTGCCATTCTTAGGAAGAGGACTGCTCAAGCATGTCGTCCACAAATGTCGAGCCCAAGGGGCCTCACGGCCCCGAGGATACCTTCGAGACCTCGGTCTTCCCTGTTCCTAGCCCAACGGAAATCGATGAGAAGAGCGACGCAAAGAATGCTGTTCTTGGCCCCGAGGTTCACGATGCATCTCATACCGACGAAAGTGATAGCGACAGCAAAGATGCCATTATTGTTACCGGTGCCGATGCCTCTCGCCACTTGCTCCCGATGAGAGACGATCACGATAACGCTTTGACATTTCGAAGTATTCTTTTGGCCTCCGGTCTTGCTTGTTTCCAGGCTGTCATGTACCAGATCTACACTGTTCGTGACTCTTTCTACTCAGACTCTGATGCAACATCATCTAATATGATCAACTATAGTTCAAGCCCACCATGATCACCATCCAGGGTACCTTCATCGTCCTTATCTCCTACTTCATCGGCAACGCTTGGGCCTTTGCCCTCCCCCGCGGCGACAACTTCGAAGCTCGATGGAGAGCCAAGGGCAACACTGGTTCACTCCCCTTCCTCATCAAGTTCATCAAGTTCATCAACCCTGGACCATGGGGTCTCAAGGAGCACGCCATCTGTGCCATCACAGCCACCTCAGCCTCCAACGCTGCTGCTAGTGTTCAAGTCTTCGCCGCCCAGGATCTGTTCTACAACATGCCATTGAGCCCAACTACTGTTATCCTGAGCACCATTTCCATCGGTCTGTTTGGTTATGGCCTCTGCGGTATCATGCGTCCTGTCGCTGTCTGGCACGTTGATGCCGTCTTCTGGAGTAACTTGCCCACTGTCAAGACCCTCCAGGGTCTTCACTGGCAGGAGGTCAAGGACTCCAAGCCTCTCCGAGTCTTCTGGTACAGTTTCGGTGGCATGTCGCTTTACGAGTTCTTCCCTGCCTACATCTTTCCCTGGCTCAACTCAGTATCTGTTCCTGTAAGCTATATCCTCAATGATTTTACTTTACCTGCGCTAACCAACTTGTGAAGTGCTTGGCTGCTATGAAGGCGACCGGAAACACTGCCAAGAACCTCACCCGTGTCTTTGGTGGTGCTACTAACAACGAGGGTCTTGGCCTTTTTAGCATTTCCCTGGATTGGCAATATGTGAGTTACTCTCAGCACCTGTATGAAACTTGACCTGACATGTATAGATCACCTCTTTCAACACCTCTCTCCCGCTCCCTCTTCAAGCTCACATGGCTGTTGGTTTCGTGGTCTGCTATATCGTCATGGCCGGCATCTACTACGGAAATGGCTGGGGCGCCAAGTCCCTGCCTTTCATGTCTACTCGACTCTTGTTGGCCAATGGTACTACATACCCCGTCGCTGAGGTCTTCGAAGGCGGAGTCCTCAATGAGTCGCGCCTGTTGGAGTTTGGTCTTCCCAGATTGACTGGTACCTTTGCCTATGCCATGTTCATGGCCAACGCTGCTGTAAGTCATCAACTCTACCTTGATCCTACCAAACGCTAAACTTGCAACAGATCGGTGCTCTCATCCTTCACTGCATCCTCTTCTGGGGCAAGGATGTCGTCAAGGCCTTCAAAAGCGCCAAGGAGGGACGATATGACGACCGTCACCACGAGCACATGGCCAAGCACTACAAGGAAGCTCCCTGGTGGTGGTATGTCACCGTCCTCGTGGGAAGCTTTATCCTCGGCCTGGTGGTCGTCATCAAGGAGAACATTACTCTCCCTGCTTGGGCTTACGTGGTGTCACTTATCATGGGTTCCATCATTGCACCAGTCGTAAGTTTAAAAGTTCTATTACATAGCCAGCAGAACTGACCATTGTTCTAGAGCACTCTCCTTTACTCTCGTTATGGAAACGGTATTGCGACCAACAACCTTTCCAAGATGATTGCTGGTCTCATGCTTCCTGGAAAGCCTGTCGGTAACATGTACTTTGCTGCATGGTCTCACAATGTCATCTCCAACGCTGTCAACCTGTCTGGTGATCTCAAGATGGGCGAATATCGTAAGTTTCACGCCTCAGCCTTACCGAATCTAAACTAACTAGGTTGCAGTCAAAATCCCCCCTCGCGTCATGTTCCTCACTCAAATCTGGGGAACTATCCTTGGTGGCTTCATCAACTACGCTATCATGATCAGCATCGTCGGCAGCAACCGAGACCTTCTTCGCGACGGTGACGGTAACTCATCCTGGAGTGGTGCCACTATGCAATCTTACAACACCAATGCAACCTCTTGGGCTCTTGCTGGTTATCTCTACAAGCTTGGTGGTACTTATGAGCTTGTTCCTTTCGGTCTGCTTGTTGGTGCCGGTTTGGTTGTTCTCCACCGAATCTTCTACAAGGTATATTTCCCCAGTTATCAGTTTTGTAGCAGCCGACTAACAGTTTCCAGTTTTACCCCAAGATCAAGAACTTTGACGTTGCCGATGTCAACTTTCCCCAGTTCATCCAGTTCGCTGGTTACATCCCTTATAACCAGAGTCAGACTTGCGTTATCCTGAGCCAGATTCTCTCCGGCTTCTTTGTCCAGTTCTACCTCCGAAACTACCGACCTCGCATCTTCAGGGACTACTCTTACCTCGTGACTGGTGCTTTCGACGGTGCCAGTCTAACAGTCCTGTTCATCCTCTCTTTCGCCGTGTTTGGAGCTGGTGGCCCAGGACATCCTTTCCCAAGCTGGTGGGGAAACAATGTCAACGGCAATTATGATCTTTGCCCTATTCCTGAGTAGAGAAAGCACTCAAGATTTTGAGTCTGGTGGTCTGGAAATGAGCCTGGAATTTGCCTGCGCATTGTTTAGACTCGTACTTTAGCCTCTGTACCTTATACCCCAGCTAGCTATTTCGAATCCAATGTTCATAAAAGTACACGTGTCAACTCTCGTGAGAGTTTTCTGGTTTGGGATACTCTGGCCAAGCAAGAACAACCTTGGACCATGGTTACTGATAAAATCCTATTTAGAGTAGCCTACGGAAAGTCTCATACAATCTCGGCGCCATGACTGCCTGTATTCCTCCAACCTCTCCTTATAGTTGCCATCACTCCTCTCACTTACCCATATTGTCTCGTGGGTGGCCGCGATCGCCGTTCTTGTTTTCATCATTCTCCTCTGCCTGCCTGGCCTCAGCTTCCTCCCGAGTTTCATCCCTTTCCCTCAAACTGTACCATGTGTCTCTCTTGTCCTTGTCAGAATGCTTTTGATACGCTATATCAATAGCTTCGCGAATCTTCTCCGTGAAAACAAATTTCTTCTTGTGTCTTATAAGTACTTCCGCAAACCCTTTGCGCGTGTACTCTAGGGCGTCTGGAGACTCTCTGAAGATACTGAGAAATAACTTCTCTGTGATTGGAAGGGAAGGCGTATGCGTCAAGACCATATCTAACATCAAAGGCTTGGCACCAACCATTATCTTCTCAAGGTGACAAAGTGAGAGGTCAACTTTTGGGTCAACCTTCAGGACCAGTGCTAACATGTTGTCTCGCGTGCCGGAATAATCAGTGCCCTGTTCGCAAATCCATACCGCGACATCTTGTAACTGTCCTTGGGCCGAACCAAGGCGCTCGAGTAAGAACTCCAGGTGGGGCAATGACTTTGCTGCTTTCAGCATGGCGTTAGTCACTGATAATGGCAAGTCTCGATGCCATAGTGACAAGAGAAGCTCGGTACTCTCTTCCCTTTGCCACCATCTGCTGTAACGCGGGACAATTGACAGTATTTTAATCACAAGACCCTCCGTTACTTCGACGTCGGGCTGGTACCCTATGAGTGCTTTCAGGGTCCCGAGATCTGTTTGAGACTCGAGTATGTCAGGAGTGATGTCCACTGAAAGCTGGCGAGCCTGTATTAAACTTCCGAAAGCCTGTTCAGAGAGCCCAACATTCAGCATCTTTGGAGTTATTTCCAGTCCCTGACTACGATCGAACAGAACCTCCAGGTTTTCCTGGATTGGTCGTCTCTCTTCTCTGAGGAAACGAATGACGAGATCTTCTGTCACTGGCTCTTCTCCTCTCCTGTCAAGGAGAAAAGACAGCAAGTCGCTGGGCTCTACCCGAGCTGCAGCTATGATGTCGCTATCCGTGATGTCGAGCGTTGTCGAGTGTCGACAAATGAGTCGGGATATATTCTGGCTTGCACCATAATAAGAGGCTGCAGACTCGAGGGCCAACGTAAGAGCTGTGACTCCGTTTGCGTCTTTCAAATCGGGTGAGGCACCATGTTGAAGTAATTGGAAAACAACTGGCTCGTCATTGTACTGGCAGGCCAAGTGCAATGCCGAACCATGAATTGGATGAACGTAGTTGACGTCGACCCCCTTTTCCAGAATCAGTGATATGATTTCACTATTGTTCCCTTGTAAAGCTGAGAAAAGGGGAGTCATGAAGCTTCCCGTGATTTTATCTACGCTGGCTCCGTGTTTGATCAAAAGCTTAAAGATTTCCAAGTTGCCAATAAAAGAAGCCAGCTGAAGTGGACTCTCCATTTCATGCGTTCCACCATCAGCAGTGGCGCCGCATTCAAGTAAAATTCGAACGATGCTGGTACATCTCTGTATCGATCGGTAGTCGGCACTTTCTGCACGATATTTCTGATGTCTTGTCCCTCGTTGCTCCAATTGCTGCTGCAAGGGTAAAGCGCAAGCCCATAGTGCCAGAGTAATTGGGTCTCCTGGCTGAGATGATCTTGATCGGACGTTCGCGCCTCGTTGTAACAGTAACCGCACCACTTCAAAGTTCAAGTAGTAGCAAGCTACCTGCAAGGGACTATCTTCCTCTTCATCGCTGCCATCGACACTGATGCCTTGTTGAATCATTCTTCGTACCAGGGGAACAGAGCCTGAGGAACACACCAACAGAAATCTTTTCGGAGTTGGAGGTACATAGTCAAGGACAAGGTTGAGAGTTCTGTAGTCAGTAAACTTTTCCATTGTCAGTGAATCCAAAGTTTCGTCAATGATCTCAAATGGGCCCTCCCCGTCATTGAACAACTGTTCAAGAAGTGCCTCAACAATAGCAAGATCTCCACTTCTGCAGGCTCTCTGAAGACTGTAACTGTGGAGCTTTGCGCCAGAGTCAAGAAGGACTCTTATTATACGCAAATCCCCTCTTTGGATCGCTGCCAACAATGGTGTTTGGCAGTCACAGTCGTCAACTTCTAGGTTGGCATCAGCGCCCCTCAACAAAAGCGCTTTGACGACGTTGACATGACCTCCAGAAATAGCAGCATGCAAAGGACTCGCATCTTGAACCTCCATACTTGCCACATTAGCTTCTTTGTGGCCTCGTACATTGAATGGAGCATTGGCTTCTAGTAACAGCTCTGTCATGGCGTCGTATCCTTTTTGACAGCTTATGATAAGAGGATGTTGGAGGCGACCCTCTTCTTGGACTAGTGATGGGTCTGTATCAAGGAGTAGTCTTGCGATTTCCGTATGTCCCTCTTGGAGAGCAAACTGAAGTGTGCTCGATGATGCTGACCCTCTTTCGCTGTGTGACTGTCGTTCAATTCTGAATTGCAACTTAGGATCTGCGCCATGTTGAAGCAGAAGCTGCACGATTTCGAGATAGCCACCAACAATCGCTGCGTGTAGGGATGTGTGCCAACGGCCCTGTATCACATTTGGGTTTGCTCCCTTGTCTAGTAGTTTCTTGGCGATCTGTAGCTGGCCAGTACGTGCCGCGGCCTGTAGAGAACTTCCATAGTAGTATCCCGTAGCGTCCACGCCGACTCCCCGAGATAAGAGCAACTCGACAAGAGGAGCTCTGCCCATTGCGCAGGCCATCTGGAGAACTAGCCCATATCTTGTGTCTTCCAGCTTGCCTGTATCATACTTCTGTAAAAGGAACTCGAGTACCGCCCCTGGCCCTTGTTCAAAGATGTACTCCAAAGACGGGGCCTGTTCAAAGCGGCCGTCTGGGTCATCGATAATACTGTGGAATGTCTGCCGCCCTCTATCGCCTTCAAAGAATTTGAGGACTTTGTCTAGAAGCGCCTTGCCTCTATCAAAATAGTCGGGAAGAGGGTGGCCGTTGTCCAATAGCCTGTTCATAACCGCCATGGCTTCCATTTCTCTCTGGACTGCTCCCAAAAGAGCTAAGTCTCCTTGACCTGCAAGTTTGACATCTGCTCCAGCTTCAAGCAACTCCTTTACGACGACACCTGGGCAGATTCTCGCTGCATATGGGAGAGGATAAACATCCTTTCCACCTAGACTGTTCGGATCGGCACCTAGTCTCAGTAGTGTTTGGATGGTTTTCTGCTGTTGAGGCATTGTTTTATCTCTATACCACCTCGCATAGTAAGGAATCTCATAAGTGTCAAAAGCGCCCAGGCTGACTTGTAAAAGACTGACAAGACGACTGTCGTTGGTCGGTGTCGAGCCATCTGCTCCATCAGTGGTAGTTATATGGGCACTCGTAAGGCGAGGGTCGGCAGACTGCCTCATACGTCTAAAGCGCCTGGGTTTCTCGTCTTCAGGAATGTTGGTGTTGACATCGATACCGAAGTTGGATATGAGATATTCGATAATGTCAGGCTGTCCCTTGCGACAAGCCGTATAGATCAATCGGCTCAGAAGGAATTCGGATTCAGAGACATCGACTTTTTGAGAGAGGAGAAACTTCAATATCTCAAGATCCTTTCCGGCAGCGCTTATCAGTGTGTCGTCAGGAATGTCAGCGCGTTGTAGGTGAGAACTAAGCTTAAACAAGCTCCTGATTACCGAGATATGGCCCCTCTCTGCAGCCTTCTGTAGGCCTTCCAGGAGCTCGTTGGCTTGCAGTAGTTGCTGGTGTTTACAATTCATGATAGCTTCCAAAGCAGCTACATTTCCGGAGGTGCAGCATTCCAGAAGGTCTGCTGTCAGAACTTGTTGCTCGATGACGGCGACTTTGTACCGCTCTTTTCCTGGTGGAAGTTTGAGCCTCAGCTGGTCAATCTGTTCTTCTGTACAGCCACTCTCAAGGGCCTTAGCAAGAGTAAGTTGCAAGATATCATGACGGCCCTCTGGTATGTTCTCCAAGGTCGAGTAGATGCGTTGAATAAACGGACCCTTCATCTTCAATGCGTGGTCGAGCAATATCCTAACAGTATTCAAGTGGCCGTTCGAGGCAGCTGCTTTGAGAGCAGCATCAACTTCGTAGTCCATAAATCCCAGAGTTTCTTTTTGCCTCAGTAGTATCACGAGAACTGCATCCCTTCCTCTTGCAGCACTAGCTGTAAGGGGACGGTTCTTCCGATATCCGTCCTGCCTATTTTCATCGTCATGGAGAGAACTCCTTTGATCAATAGCGATCATCTCCATTTCATCGTCAGTCTCGACTCGAGTGATATTGTCACGGGCATCTGTGCGAGACCCAGGTTCGGGCGTTCTAGCTGTCCGTTTCCAAAGGTGTGGCCACAATTTAGAGCGAGGATGTTTATCTCGTCCTGGAGAAACCTCCCGATAAAGCGGCCTGTATGATGAGGGTTGAGCTCTCTTATACTTAGGACTCGGTGGCTCGTAAAGGAACCGGTAGCCTCGTTCCAAGAATAGCATGATGATGTTCTGATGACCACCTTCAGCAGCGGCATGGAACGCGTCTGGAGATGAACCCTCGGCATGAACATTTGCGCCAGCGTCAAGAAGCATCTCGACAACCTTTCTGTGGCCGTGGTATGCGGCCGCATGCAACGCAGTGCCACAAGATCCCGTTTTCTGGTGAAGATCTGCATCTTCGTCCAGTAGTATCCTGACGATATCTACGTGGCCTTTTGCAGCGGCAACGTAAAGGGCATTGCCTTTCCGTTCTTCTGTGTTGATTTTGGCACCGCGCTTGAGTAGCTCTTCGACCGTGGACCTGTGATTCATCAAGCAAGCTGAACGGAGTGGCGTGCCGAACTGACCTTTGGCTTCAATTTCAAGACCTTGTTCCAGGAGATACTTGACCATATCTGTATGGCCATAAAGAGCGGCGATTGCAACCGCGTCTTTTGGGAAAGTGTCTGCCGCTCCCGGTGATACTTTGGAAATCTGACGCTGTAGCACAAATATCTGACCGGCTTTGATAGCCTTGGCTAATCTCATTTTGTGTTTGTCTGGTGTGTCTTTGTCTACAAAGTGCTTGAACTCTGGCTTCAGAAGCTGGTCGATGACCTTGATGAAGCCATACTGTGTTGCCATCTGAATGGCTTGCTCGTAGTCATCCTGGGAGTTTATAATATCGTGCCTAATAAGAGAGAGCACAATATCTTCATGCCCTCCTTGAGATGCGGCTTGGATGGCGCTCTGAAACTTAGAACCACATTTTGGAGATGTACCGTGTTGAAGCAGCATCTCTACAATGTCTTGATATCCCCTGAAACACGCAACATGCAACGGACTTCCATATGTACCACATTCGACGTCCTGCTTTGCACCTTTCTCAATCAGAGCCATCACAGTGGAGAGATGACCTGTAGCAGCGGCGAGGTAGAGTGCGGTGTGCCCAAGGCCATTTCGTTGGTCCCAGTCTATATCACTCTCCGACTCTGCAATAAGAGTCAACAGGCCGTCTATACCAAAGACAGCTGCTAAGAAGAGAGGAGACGATGTTTCGTTTGGTATGGCATCAAGAGCCGGCTTCATTGGGTGATCCCTCGGCAGCAGCCGTGCAATCTCCTTCGCAGTATCTAGCCAGGCTTCGAAGGAAAGGCTGACATCATAGTCATCATCCTCAAAGACAAATGAGATCATGTCTTGAAATAGCTTCTCCTCCTTCTTGATAACTCTTGAACTCTCAAAATGGCCTGCCCAGTGCGTCGCGGAATAGAAGAAGAAGCCTCCAACCTGTTGTTCCAGGCTTCCACTATCAGGCGGACCCCGCGCGCTGACCTTTATGCAGGTCGATGCCAGCAAACTGTGAGCTACGGGAGCAGAGAACAAAGACTGTTTAGTACGGAGGATAAATTCTCTGACTGAATGATGGGCAAGTCGGACAACTTGGCGACGGAGGTCTATGACCACCAAGTTCGAGCACACAGCAGAGATGTCCGCCGCTGTGTAAGGGACATCCCTTATGCTTGTTTCAGAGACAGCGGCCAGCAATGCCTCAGGAGTCAATGGCGACTTCATGTAGAGCAGCCAGGAGAAGGTCTGAATGGCGAGTTGTCGTGACGTGTCTCCTGATTGTAAGATCTGCCCGAGGTCGTTTTCGTACAGCGTGTCGAGATCAGATAGAATGTTGGACCGGAGAGCCGGAAGCAGATCATGTTCGTTCTTGACTTTGCGAAGCTGCTGTATTTGTCGGTGGATCCATAGGAACCTAGAAAAAGTGAATTGATTAAGACAATAACAAGAAGATGAATGAAAAGGGAGCCTACATTTCGCCTGCACCCTCCAGCAGCTCCTTTGCCAAGCAGCTTCTTTTGTCCGGCGAGAGCCTTCCACTGATTAGTTTGGTGTCGTCAATCTTCTGAGTAATGAACTGAGTCATGTCTTCATGGACAAGGTCGGCCGTCACAATTATCTCCTTGGCAGTCGGTAGCGACGAGAGGATATCGAGGCTATTCCTGCTTGTGATTAACACCTTGACGACGTTCTCAGCCCTTGAAATGATGTCAGATAAACACTGCAAGAGAATATCGCAACTCTCATCCTCAACCTGCTCAACACCATCGAGCAATACTGTGATGGGGTCTTCATTGGCGACTTGGACGATACGATCCACGCACTCTTTCGTACTCAATTTCGGAAGGTCCAGTCCCTGGAGGAGAGCTGATCTGGAGCGGCGCTGGAAGTCGGAGTAGAAAAAGTCGCGAACATCACTTTGGATTTCTGCAATCGCGAGTTGACGCAGAATGCTACGGAGGATTCCGTCCGCTGACGATCTCTCCGGTTCTGACTCGCTTTTGAGGCAGTAGAAATATGCGAAGGGTGTCGATTCTGGCTGTGAAGCCCAGGTTGCCCGCAATGAATCGACTATTACAGAGAAAAGATTGGTCTTGCCTGAACCCGTGATTCCATGGATCCAGAGTGGTGATGAAGAGCTAGACTCACACCAGTTTCTGTAAGCCTCATGTTTCAGAAGCCACTGGCCGAAGTTTAGCGTTCTTGAATCGGACATGGTCTCGTGATGGATTGAGAATGGCGACGTGGACATCCAGGATATCATCTTTGTATACTCGTCCTCTTCAATACGCTTGGTGTTGCTGTTGATTTGATCTCTGAGGCGGAGAACTGTCTTCTGGATAAAGCGCAAATCTGAAGTATCCTGAAGCTTGGCTAGTTTGAGAACCTCGTCTTCTCGGGATAAGATCTTTTGTATCCCATCGTCGCCTGTCCAAAAGACACTCTTGGCGAGTCGGACTGCTCGGGTCAGTAAATGTCTTTCTCAATGGGGTTATAAACATGCCTGCAGTTGATTGTGAGAAAAAGGCAATAGTTTGTGCCAGATATGTCAAGACTTCTGTATATAGAACTGTGAGGGCTGTTCCAAGCGCAGGCTGAGCGAGTTCATCTCGGCCTAGATGCAGATTCTCAAACTCTTTGTATCGTGCAATGATCCGAGACGCCACTTCAAGATCCTGAACCATGGTTCCGTACTGCTGGACATCGTTGACTGTCACTTGAAGAAGCAGCCTGACGGCGGCCCAGGGCAGCGAAGCGTTGCTGGCATCAAACTGCACGGCCGCATCGCCAACCGCTTTGAAGGAATCGATCCATTTGGCAATCTTTTCAAGAACATCTCGGACAATCACGACTTCTCCGTTCGACCGCTTGAACTTCCAGCGTCTGCGGAGACTAGTAGTTTTACGGGTCTCCGCCGCTTCCAGGGCGGCGGCTAGAATGTCGCGCTTATGCGTTGCAGCCTGGCCGAGTGATGTCTTGAGATCTGCGCCGAGGGAGTTGTATGCTTGGTCCCAGAGACTCTGCGCACTTGTATTGCTTGAGGGAGGTATTTGCGTCGCCATGACGACTTAATAATACTGACAATTCTTCTTTGCGCAGTTTACTTCGCTACTAATCTAACTTAGTTTGCAGGTTCCAGCCCAAATCGCGATGATCAAGACACCAAGTCTCAGCCGCAATGCTCGCGACGCTTACCTTTCTAGGCTGCTATCCTGGGTGCTTGCCTTGACGCGGATGGCGTCCAGTAAAACGTTGACTGCGTATGCTGGGTGTGACCAATAGATGCATTTTCAAGGCCACGGCGCAGTCAATTGCGTTAACGGTCATGTCAAGGCATTGCACGACGTACGCTGGCAGTCTTCATTGACAACAACCGAGGGTAGTTCAGTTAAATTCTATATATTGAGAATCATGCTTCAATGCATAAATGCTGAATTACCAACTCGCTAAGAGATATTGTGGTTGCTGTGAGCTTGTCCTGTTTGCTCTACTTGTCCAAGCAGCCAGCGACGCGAGCGGACGCGAAAAAAGAGCGAGATTCTAGCGGTCATTTACAGGCCTGTTCGCTTTCGGTCAACTGTCGGCCTCAAGCTAACTCTACAAAAGAAGGGTCATGGCCTCGACCATTGAACATAGATTCCAGCAATAAAGATTCTATATCAAGCAATTTTTCTAGTGAAATAACCCTTATCAACCTCTTTAGATCTTCAGGCCTCAACCCCACGACCATGTCCTCACCAAAGACAGTCGCATTCTTCGGCGCTAGCACAGGCGTAGGCCTCTCCGCGCTAAAGTATTCACTGACTGCAGGGCATAATTGTATCGCTCTGTGCCGAATCCCATCAAAACTCGAGGCGCACATATCGCTGCAAGCTCATCCCAATCTGCGAATCGTTGAAGGCAACGCCCACGATATAAAGACAGTGTCTTCTTGTCTAAAGAAGGACGATGGCTCAATCGTCGATGCAATTGTCTCTACGATTGGCGGCAAGCCCATCATTCACAAAATGACGATTGATGATCCCAACTGTTGTCGCATCGGCATCACTGTCCTTCTCGATGCCCTCGCGCAAATACGTGCAGAGGGTGCAGTAGGAAGACCTCACATCACCGTCTTTAGCACCACTGGCATGTCGGACTTTGGTCGCGATTATCCCCTTCTTCTCTATCCTATTTATGCGATTGCTCTCAAGGTCCCCCACGAAGACAAGAAGATCATGGAGACCAAGTTGGCCGACAGTGGTGAAGACTTCACCATCGTGCGGGGCAGTTTGTTGGTGGACGGTGAGAGCGAAACGCCAGTGCGCGTGGGCATAGAGGACCCCAAGAATGGGATAGATTCTTTAGAAATCGGATACACAATCTCAAGGGAAGATGCTGGGAAATGGCTGGCAGAAAACATCTTGGTAAATACACGTGCTGAGTACGTGAACAAGATTGCATCCATCACCTACTGAGCGGCTCCAGAGTGTCATTTACAAGGCGTTAGGACTTGGTTGGGGACTCAGCGTGGACGTACATATAATATAGATTAGCTCGTATTATCGACTTTTTGCTTGATACAAATAATATTCATCAAAACACCAAAGATCGGGGCCGTCTTGAATGAACTCTTGATGTCTTATTCAGGAGTTGGCGCGATGACCTGGTTACCCTGAGGCATCGGCGCTGTGGAGAATGGCACAGTTGTCTGAAAATGCTCTAGCGCTTATCTTGACTTCCAGATAACCTATCAGGACTTTAACACTCGGTATCGTAGATACTTGTCAGTCAAGCTTGGGGATCAGATTGGACTGATCCAATAAGTAATATACATGTTTTGAGAGCTAATTTCAATCTAAGTAGTAGAGGAACACATGGGTAAGGCTTATAAAAATGAGAAATTCTACCTATGATGGGTTCCTAGCTGGCCGAAAGCACTGATAAAGTAGTCACTGATGGTACGTGATAGCGATGATTGGAAGCAGCGCATCTACCACGATAGTTCACCCGATGAAAAGCTCATTTCCCTCGAAGAAGGACGTAAATCTCTATCGCGACAAAAAGATCAAACTATTGCAGATCACGTCGTATATACACGAGACTCTCTCATCTTTGCCGGTCTCTTAATGCTGTTCATCACGAATGACGCCCTCCCCCGCCGTCCCAACCCCTCTCGCGTCAGATTCGGCCTCCGCGCCCGAGAAAAACGCGAGGAACGCCTCCACAGCCAAGCTCCGCAGCTGCGTCGTATGTCGTAGTCGTAAAGTGCGCTGCGATAAGCTGTCACCATGTTCAAACTGCCGCAAAGCTAACATTCCCTGCGTGGTGCCCTCCAATGATCGTCCGCCAAGATGGGCGAGGCGCTTGGAGCGCATCGCTGATAATGGGCAGGGTGCTGCAGGACAGGGTGGCGGCAGCCCTGGGACTGATCAGGTTATGAATAGACTGCGGACGCTGGAAAATTTGGTCAAGGAGTTGAGTGGACAGCTTGAGGTGGCTAATGCTGCTGCGAGTAGGGGTGCGTCCTCTGGTGCTCCATCGCCTCAAGATGTTGTGAAGGATGCGGCGAGTCCATCGTCGACATCAACGGCCTCTGACGTGCAGAAACATTTTGGGAGAATGGTGATCAAGGATAAGAACAGGGAAAAGTATGTAGCTAGTGGCTTCTGGTCTCGCATTAGTGATGAGGTACGTTAACTCCAGCCCAGCTTCCTGCTGTTCATCGCTCTGACTGCCTGCAGCTCGATGGCCTGAAGATGGACACTCGTAGGATGGCAGATGACGACGAGTCTTCCGAAGATGAAGACTTCCCGGTCAGCACTCCCTCAACTCAAGAACTTTACCGAGAACCATCAGAGCGGCATGCTTTCTTGTTTCGAAACAGCCAAGCTCCTGCATCGCCCAGCGAACAGGACTTCAGCCCGTTGCCATCACAGATCCCCTTCTTACTGGACGTATTCGACGAGAATATCAACCTCATCATGCACATTGTGCATATGCCGAGCATCAGAAAGATGGTTCGTCCTTCACCTGGGACAGCGGCCAAGGTGTCTCTCAAGCACCAGGCGCTGCTCTTCTCCATCTACTACGCTGCCATCACATCCATGGAAGATGACGATGTGCTAGCCAATTTTGGATCTACGAAAACGGAGCTTAATATGAAGTTCCGCCGAGGCCTTGAACAGGCTTTGGCACGAGCAGACTTCCTCAACAACCCGGATATTGTCCTTGTTCAGGCCTTGGTCATCTTCTTATCTCTCGCGAGGCGGTACGACAGCCCTGTTTACGTGTGGATGATGACTGGATTGATGATTCGTATGGCTCACGCTGTTGGCCTCCATCGAGACGGTTCAAGATTCCAGCATCTATCACCGTTTGAGGTTGAGCAACGACGTCGCCTTTGGTGGATGATCATTACTGTTGACATTCGTGCCTCTGAAGATCAGGGGACTGAGTTCTCGATCACGCAAGACAGCTTTGATACCAAGATACCGCTCAACGTCAACACTTCCGACATTGAACCCGAAACGAAAGAGACTCCTCCAGAGCGCAAAGGCGTTACAGACATGTCTTTTGCACTCGCCATGTGCGAACTAGCTCGAGTTTCCAGGCAGTTGATGGCATCAAGCATCCACTCATCTGGGCCGACCCCCGAGGAGCAGACTAAGCTGCTCGACGGTATCCAAGAAAAGCTCGAGAATGGCTACCTTTTCCGCTCTGCACATCCCGAAGATATAGCCAACTGGGTCGGGATAGTGTGCACGCGGCTGGTGCTTTCCAAGCTGACACTCTTAGTGTATCTGCCATCGCTTTTTGCGTCGCCAAATGAGCAGTTCTCGGACGAGATTCGAGACAAACTGCTCATCGCTGCCATCGAGGTCGCAGAGCATAACCACGCGCTCAATGCTGAGACGAAATGCCGTCAGTGGCGATGGATCTACCAGACGTATACTCACTGGTATGCCATTGTATGGCTTCTGATTGAGATATCCAGACGGCAGTGGTCACCTACTGTCGAACGCGCATGGGTGGCTCTGCACAGCGTCTGGCTGATACCGTCACAGCACAACATGACCAAGAATGCACGCATGTGGATTCCGCTGCGTCGATTGATGGCTCAAGCGAGAAGTCATCGGGACGAGCAATTAATGCAAATTCGGAACAATCCTGCGATGATCGAGAAATTGGAGCAGGCCGATCACTCGCTTCCCGCTCCTGTCAGCCCGGAATCGTCACAGGAGGCAAATTCGCAGCAGCGATTTCTTGAGCATTGGCGTTCTGCTGTCGGCAAGACTACCTATGGCACTTCCGAGCAGCCTGTAACTCAAACTAGTGATAACAACACGACGCAATCTTTAGCCAATCCGGCCATAGGTGACAATGCCACTCAATGGGCAAATCCCTCATTCGACTTTGCTTCTTACCACCGTCTTCAGATGGGCGTAGCTGGTGATACACTTCCAACTGAGATGAACATGCTTCCCCAAACATGGGCCAATGGCCAGCCTGGAGATGCAAATGTTGCGTCATGGCTTTGGACCGACATGGATCAAAGTGGCAACGGATTGGGAGACATCGATATCAACATGGATATTGATACTGACATTGACTGGAATACGTGGCTACAGTCTGCTACAGGCATGGAATTGAATCAAGGAAACACGGGGCCGTCTTGAGTAATTTTGGATAATAGGCCCCAGAATTTCAGTTCAAGAATGATGCATGTACGGAGCAAATACGAATTAGGCTAACATGAGGGTTGGATTGACTATCAGGCGCAAAGCACTTAATGAATGTAACATATCATATACTTCTGGAGTAGCGGATGATCTATGGTTACTAGAGCCTTCGGCTAAAGTCCTCCGAGCCATACAGCTCCTTCTGGCGCTCAAGTACAGCCGGGTGACGAATTACTCCTGGCTTCAGCTTGCCAAAGTCCAGGTCAACGCCCTCCTCCATATATGGAAAGGGACCAAGAGGTGTAATAGCAAGAGGATTGATCTTGTAATGGCTCTTTGTGTACTGATACAAGATTAGCTCTATTCAGACAAATGATTTACGAACTTACGTTTTCTTTAATATGCTTAAAGTCTGTCGTCTCTTTGAAACCTGGGACATTCCAATAGAGATTCTTGAGCCACTCATGAATGACTGGGTAGTTGGCACGAATGGTTCCGAGGTCGCATTTAAAGTGACCAACATAGACAACATCAAACCTGACGACAGTGGCATACGCGCGTACGTCGACTTCAGTGAGCTGCTTGCCAAGGATATAGGGGCCTCCATTTTGGTGGATTAGTGCCTCAAGCTTGTTGAGTGCCGCGAAAACTGTTGGCACATTGTTGTTGTAGTCCTCCTGGGTCGTTGCGAATCCGGCTTTATAGACACCACTATTGAGGTCTCGTTGCATCCAAACATTGATGTCGTCAATGGTCGATCTCAAGTTCTCGGGATAGAGGTCAAGGTCTCGCCCGGGGCTGTTCGAGTCAAGGATGGAATCGAAGGCTGTTGGCAACCAACGAAGCAATTCGTGGCTCTCATTATTGACCATTCGATTCTCCTTCTTGTCCCAGAGAACAGGTACACTGTACCGGCCTTTATAATCAGGGTCATCTCTGAAGTAAACCTCGTGCATATACTTTGATTTGAAGAGGTGGTCTTCGGTAGCCCCTTCATAGACATCATCCGGAGGACTCGGAAACTGCCAACCAGGCCATCCCTTATCATCACCCTTAGGATAGGGCTTCACTACGGATAGACTGATTATATCTTGGAGACCTTTGAGGTGCCGAACAAGATTTGCTCGGTGAGCAAAAGGGCAGAAGAGTCCGATGTAAAGATGGTAGCGGTCCTTCTGGGGCCGGAAGGGGCCATCCGAAGTAATGACTCCGTGCCACGAGTCATCAGGGCTGCTATGAACAGTCATTTTTTTGAGCTCAAATCAGCGACAATAATGTATAGAACTTGTGCACTTATCACATATGAGGATGTGAGGTTCGTATGGCGAGATAGAGTGCTGACCCCGCCCGCTTGGTGACGGATAATCGGAATTGGAGGTCCGGTTCCGGAACTGGGCTCGGAACTGAACTTTACTGAACTACGTATGGGCTTTTATATGTATTGTATAGTTAATACCTTGAAACGGATACAAATAAGACACTGTGTGTGCTGAAAATGAAATACTGGAGTGCTGGTGAATTCTACTGTATTTAATGGCGACTGGATCACAACGAATAGGCATCATCGTTGAGAGATTCAAACTATACAGCTCAGTCACAGAAATGGAATTTGGGAGAAGAACCTGTTTTATGTAAATGATAGTATGTAGTGTCAGGCCGCGTTCGCCTTCCACTGTCTCAACCTAAGTATGGAAGAACAGGATTAAAGAGAGTATAAGAAGAGAAGAAACCAGGCAATGTCAGATGTCAGAGCTCTTCAGGGTAGAAATCGCAAGGTTAAAGGTGAAAATAGAGGCTCTCTCGTTGAGATGTGTGTCAGAAGTGAGGAAACGAGTGTTGATTGCCGTGCATGAATATCCCCAAACATTGTCATCATCATCCTAGCACATAAGTCGTAAGCCGTATGGCCCAATGATCCCAGACTTGGGGCCAGTCGTAAGTACGATTTTGCATCAAGCAAGATCGAGGTAAGTTTTTTTTTTTGAGCATGAAAGGGTGGCCATGAGTTACTGGCCAAAGTTGAAGTTTTATCAGGCTTGCCTGGACCGCCTGGCTTACCTCGGTGATCAGGTTTTCCAGGCTTAGGATAGTCAGGTTTACCAGGTCCTGGATAGCCAGGCTGGCCATGGTTGTTCTCCCACGGCTTATGGGCCTTGCTTGGATGATCTGGCTTTCCTGGCTTAGGGTAGTCAGGCTTTCCAGGGTGATCAGGCTTATGGGGCTTTGGCTTTGGCTTGTGAGGCTTGGACTTTCCAGGTCCTCCATATTCTCCCCAGCTCTTTATGGGCTTGTACTCAGGGTAGTAGACCTCGCTGCAAGGCTCGGCAACAGGAGCAGAGAAAGCAACTGAGATCAGAGCCAAGAGGGTCACATCAGACAGCTTCATCTTTGTAGATAGTTGGCAGGACTGTGCTGCAGGAAAGAAAAGATTGTAAAATGGGTTGCAAAGTCTCTTTAAAGAGTGAAGAGACGGTTGAAGAAGTAGAGCGGAGAAAGTGAAGGGCGGTTGAGGAGGGAAGAGAATAGATCCGGAGGGGGAAGCGGCTAGCTTTCATATTTCCCTCCCTTCGCCGGATGAGATGTGAGAGTCATCATACAAAATCTGCAGTTGGTCTCGGTCACTGTATATTATTGCACCCCATCGCGAATGCATCGACTGGGAGCGTGTGAAATCCACGTGGAGTTCATGGTATGCCCACCTACAGTCACTTGGAGAATATCGATTGATTCACACCTGCATTAGGTCAAGGTCTGGGTTCGTTTGGCTTGAGTGCATAAACATGGTCGAGACACATCACTTGGTGCTGTCTTGCCAGAAGCTTGGATTATTGACAGTTAGATACTCAGCCGCATGCAGTGTAAGCCCTCAAAGAGTGTTCTCTACTCCAATTGATCCAACAACCTTTACGAATGGCCACCGATCCCAGCACTTTCTACGATTCAGAGTCTTCTTTCGACACGGAGATACTTCAGTCCATAGTTCGGCTTAGCTATCCCCGCTATGTTTAACCTTATTGCCAAGCTCACAGGCTATTTCCAGTCATATCCGCTATACTTATGCCATCTATGGTTTCCGAACTCAGGCGGATGCTAACAGTGACAACGGAGCTGTGTAACGCGAGAAGCATTGCAGAGTTTCACGACCTTCTTCAATGGTTTGTGGAAATTGAAGCTAGGAGGACAGTACCACCAGCCTTTGCTCGTCTGGTCGCCATCGCCGTATGTGCAGACAAAATCACTCTGATTGGGTTCACATCAGCTTTGTTACTGGTCCTGATATACAAGTCCATTGCCAGCCAAGGAGAGGTGATACACAGTATAACATGATTTTCGTTTATGACACTAATACCTACAAGTGTCCACATAAAACACCATCGCCATGAATGGAAGCTATTACTTGCTTGTTAAGTTGAATCATTTCACTGTATGCAATGATACTGCTGCATCTGGTGTTTACAGATCATCCGCTTCTCTCCGCCCTTCCGACTTATTGCGGAGGTCAGCTCAGGAGTGAGGCCCCATCAATACAGCTCCCTCTTTCTACTTCAGTCGGGCCATCGCGTACCAGTGAGACGCACTTGTAAAGTAATGAAGACCTTCCGTTAATAGCTATCGAAGCCCGATCTGCGATTCTCGAGATACCTTTCTAGTGTCGCAGGATTGCAGTATGCACTTCCGCAGGGTGCTAGCTTACATCGCGGTGCGAGTTTCATATTCCTGCTTATGCTCCGTGCACTAGACCTTTGCTCCCCGCCCGCTGACGAGACAGTATCTCGCTCAGGTTGACTCAAGTAGTTGCAAGCTTACTGCCACAATGGCCATCAGCTGGAAAAGGTATGATACAGAAGACAAACTACAGTGCATCATATGCTGCTGCATATTTACTTGTCGTGTAGCCGTTAGCTCATCTATCATGATCCTGACACAAGCCGTCGTATTGTTAAGGTTGACCGTATCTGGACAACGACGAAACGCAGCTCAAACTCTTTCTCCATAAGATCGCGAGAGTATCATACGCAAGTAGTGCAGTAAGAAATGCTCAAGAGAAGCAAGTAGGTGTATCAGCTCTATGGTACTGTTTGAGAGAAGGAATAGAGTCTATGTCCCACAGGAGTCTGAACCTTCTACACATAGGGTTCACTGTTTCCAACCAGTTATTGCAACATTATCCCAGCCCAAAAGATCACAACTGATGGTACCCTTGAACTTTTGGTACTTGTTTCCAGTAAAGACTATATAACCAATGCCTGATTGAATCGCGTCGAGTGGTGAATGATCCTCCGAGGCTGCACCCGATTGAGGCTTCACAAGGACATTTCCTCTCCATGAAAGCCAGAACTTTGGTTGCCGGAACGTGTTCTTCTCAAAGTTTTCAGACCGCAGCTCTTCAGTGGTCTTGTAGTCATGAGGATCGTTGGGGCGATTATCTTTATCTCCCGAAGCCTCAAATGATTGCTGTTCGGGGCAGGCCTCGTGTTGTTGATCATCAACGTCGAGTTCATCCGCTGATTTTTCCCCAGCGTCATGTTCTGCGTTTTCGGCCTCGCAATCTGGTTCCATTGAGATATTTGCGCGATCCAAGATCTCGTGGATTTTCTTCCGACTTCCTGCCATGATAAAGGAAGCATCCAACACGCCAGGAAGAAATAGGTCGCCTTGCAACCCATCTTCCCCGTCGGTAAACCGAAGAACTTCAAACCGCGCCGAGTTCTCGGAGTGACGTTTATGTTTTACATCCCTTTGATCTTTGGTTGGGTCCCGATCGCATGGCGACGTACGGGCCAGGGGATGGGCTTTAGGGCATTGAAGCTGGTATAAGCCGAGGATTCTTGAAATGCTTAAAGCGCTAGAACTTTGTGGTATGGATTTGCGAGTCTTCCGGTTATGAAAGGCCCGCGAGGACAGCATTTCTTCTTGCCAACATTGATCCATTTTAGAAGGATAAGTAAAAAGTTACGAAGGTAGGAGGCAGGGGCAAATGCATGTAGGTATGTATGACGCTGTAGTGGGTCTTTAGAAAATAGAATAACTATAGTATAGAGTGTTAAACTTATTAAAAAGGATATAGTGTAATTAAAGCTAAAAAGGTAATAAAAAATGTAATTTAATTAATTATTAAGGTCTTACTATACTTTATAGCTTTTTTTAATTATAATAGGCTTTTAATTAATTAATTTAGTAATATTTTATAATATAAAATATTTAAATCTATATAATTAATTATATTAATTAAAGTATAATTAAAAATAGCTATTTTAATTAAATTAAATTAGTTTTTTAATAAAAAGTTTTTTTTTAAAGTTATACTTATTATATAAAGCTTATAATATTTATAGCTTATAGTTTTTATTAATATTAATTTAATTATATTAATAAAGTTATTTTTTCTCTCCTTACTATTAGCCTTATAAGACTATTAAGCTTTTAACTTTATATATAAAGGGTTAAATAATAAGGCCTTTATAGTAGGCCTATATCTTAAAGATTAAAATTATATAAAATTTATCTGCCTTAATATTATAGTAAATTAATAATAGCTAAATAGGTATAATAGTCTTATATTAATTAAAGCTTAAAGAGGGAAGATTCCTTAAGAAGGGGTTTTTTAAGGGAATTCTATAAGGTTTTAAAGTTATATAACTTAAAAATTAAGTTAACTAACTATATTAAGATACTATTATAATTATCCTTCTTTTTCTATTTAGCTGTTTTTAGTTAAAATAGTAATAAGATGAAATTATATAATTATTAATAAACTTTTATTATTATATATTTACTTATAGTAATTAATTTCTTACCTAAATCTATATAAAAGTAATAACTTATATTTTAGCTATTTTATATATAAAACCTATTATAAGTCTATAAATAGTCTTATTATAATATCTTATAGCTTTATATAATCTATGCCTTTTAACTTATAGTTAATCTTTTAATTTTTTAAGCTTTTTTAGGCTTTTATAAGGCTTTTAATTCCTTTTTAGCTATAAATATTTATTTATTTATTTTTTTTTACTTTTTTTTTTTACTTTTTTTTCTATTTTATTTTATATAATCTCTTTAACTTATATACCTTTTTTCTTTATTTATACCTTTACCTTTTAGCCTTTTACCCTTTATTTTTTTAATAAATCTACCTTAATTCTTTTATAATAGCTAATAAAGAACTTATTTCTATCTTTCAGATATTTAATAAGGTTAAAAAACTTAAAGTAATTATACCCTTTAAGTTCTTTAATTATACTATAGGCTATTAGATTTATATATATTATATTTATATCTATAAAAATAATATTTAGGTATTATTAATTAATAATAATTTTAATAGTTTCTTTTATTTTTTTTAACTTAATTATTATACCTTTAATAACTTTAACTTTTGTAATTATGTTAAATATAACTATAATAAAAAGTATTATAAATTATATATCTCTTTTATAATTCTCTTTTATATCTTATTATTAATTTAATTATAGTCTTTCTATTATAGTAAAAAGTAACTTTAAAGATATAATAAAAGCCTTAAAGTTTATAATTATTTTAATTACTATTTATATTATTAACTAACTA